CTCTGTCTTGGACCTAACAAGTTGCTTCTGCTCTCTTGTTATTTTCTTCAAACTCCTCTTGCAGGAAGCGATTTGCTCATCTCTTGAGGATTACAACAAGCAAATAGAACAATTGAAAGAGGAGATGAATGATGCCACACGTGGTGCAGATAACATTAGAAATGATATCAGTGCGCTAACTCAACGATATGCTGTAATCGACCGTGACGAGGAATGCGGGGTATGATGATCCTAAGAATTAATAGTCTTTATCTATTGTCTAGCTATCTATGATATATATAGATTGGAATCAAATTTTCTGAAGCACCAAAATTACCAGTAGAGCTTATTATTTTCAATATGTTACCAGGTTTGTAAACGTAAAATCTTGATGATGACCGGGGATTTCAGAATGGCACAGGGACATTCTTCAGCTGGACCGTTAGCTCCTTTTTATGTCTTTCCTTGTGGGCACTCTTTCCATGCACAGTGCCTGATCACACACGTCACAAGCTGTGCACATGAAGAGCAAGTAAATTCCTAACCATGAGTTCTCTCTGTATATTAGATACTGCAAATTTAGTAATATTCAGTTCGTTTAGAGTAGTACGATTTGCTGTACCTGTAGCTTAGTTCGTAATTTTCCATGTTAAAATTGTGATTCCATTTTTTTGGATTGGTTATCCAAAAATCTGTCTAGGCCGAGCATATACTTGATCTGCAGAAGCAGCTGACATTGCTCGGAAGCGAAAGCCGGAGGGATATAAATGGTAACAGATCTGATGAACCCATAACAAACACAACTACTGCAGACAAGGTAGGGACATTCGTTTCATTTTTCTTTTCCTTTTTATTTTATATCTTTTCTTAACATGTTTCTATGGCTTGACATATATTATTTTACCTTGTGGCAGCTTCGATCAGAGCTAGATGATGCTATTGCCAGCGAATGCCCATTCTGTGGAGAATTAATGATCAATGAGATCACTTTGCCTTTTATAAAACCTGAGGATTCACAACATTCTGCTTCATGGGACCTCCGACCACAGACCAACTTAGCAAACCAAAGGACCATTTCTTTGCCTGTTTGATTCATGTCACCCAGTGATTTCTTCTTCAGCTAGCTTCGGATTGTGAATTTGATTTTGAGTGCTGTATTATTTGTGTAATATTATTATTAAACATGCTTCTGGAGATACATACATTAAGTTGTTTCACCTACTCGTGCCTCTGTAATCTAAAATGTTCTCTTGACTATTTTTTCGATATGAAAGATACTTTTGTATTCCATGATTTTGCATCAGTGACGCGATTCTTCCTCGGCTTCAAAATCTTTTTCTGCAGATATTTTCTTGGCCAGAGCCTGCTTGGTCCAGCGCTTCAAGTCATAAGCTCTCTTGAAAGGCTTCTTATCCTTGGTAAGTTTCCTCTTTGTAATGGCAATTGCAAGATCGTTTGGGAACAAAGTTTGCCAGACAAAGGCGTGGAGAAGCGTGGAGACAAACAAAATGCAGACCATCGCTGTAGATATGAAGGAAAGAGTGAGTGCTAGAGCCCTGCTGGGGTAACCAGGTACTGCCTCTGCATACTTTATTGTTGCTACTGATGCTGTTGTCATAGGAAAAGTATATGACCACCACGCTACTGAGAACCTGCATACAACTCCTTAGCCACTAATTTGCAACAACACATACTTTGACTGGAAAATATATAAACCCGAGTTTGACTTACTTGAATCCCGTGAAGAAATTGATCCGTGCGACAAGGGAGATGTATAGGAAGAGTGCAATAAAGAAGCAAGTTCTCGAACATCCATCAAATTGGCCATATATCGTGTTCCAAGCGATACTTGCTGCTGAGGGGGCAGCTATGAACATAGAGTAAACAGGATGAAGCTCTTTAGGCAGAGCTTCACTTGTGGGAAGTCTCTGATATAGTGTTACGAACAAAACCAAGTAATGTGCAAACCCAACTGCCCATAGAAACTTAGCTACTTCACTCCATCCAACTTTTGAAGCTAAGATGGCCCCAACGAAATTCCCTACAACAGAAAGGTGAGAAGATGGGTTTGCGACTTTGCATAGTCTTCTTTTCCCTCCTGAAAGCCATTGCCCATAGATCTTTAGCTCGAGTAAGAAATAAGGACCCATGAAAACGCACCAAATAGCGGGATGGAGGTATTTTCGGTTTGAGGAGAACACGGGAGGTACGCTCAGGGCTAGAAACATGCAAACCACCCAAGGAGCAAAGAAGAAGTTGACTCGGACCGGATGAAAGTACTCTCTTTTGACAGCTTCGAAGTAGAAGATGCATTTGAGTATGTAAGTGAAGGACACAGAGAATAAGGCTACCAGTGACAATAGCCATACAAGTAAGTTAATCAATGGTGTGATGTGTAAAAAGTTTGTCGCGGGACTTTTCGCCAGGGCAAGCCACAAGACAGCTTGACTGCTAAGTCCTAAACAGATACCGTAGCATCCAATCGGGAACCTTAGAAGAAACGGCCATTGCTCCTCTTTTGGAAGCAGAATATCTTCATTGTCCTGCAAGAGAATACAATTGGAACTAAGTCATTGAGAATTGAAGAGAGAGAGAGAGATAAAGAAGAAGAGTTGTTACCTTGACTTCATCCAATTCGGGTCCTCTAAGAGCAGCAAAGTATCTTCCTGCAGAAACATTTTCATTTATAGAATCATCTTTGGTCTCACCACCTTCAGTTCTTAAAGAGTTCTCAATGTCTCTCTCCCTTATTATAGAAGGCAATAGAGATTTTTGTTTGCTGAGCGTAGATTTGGTCCTAAACATACTGAAATCTGCTTTCCGACCATCTCCACCGTTGATGATTCCACCTACTTCAAACCCGCCAAAGCTACGACCACTCCTCGGTAAACTCTTTTTGTCATCTTTTTCTCTAGATTCTCTGTTGAGCACAGAGAAACCAGTCTCTAGTGAGACCTGTCTGCCGAAACCTCTGTATGGTCTTTGTTTCCCTCGGTTTGGTCCTCTGTAACCAGAAAATCTCTTGTTGTTGTTATCTTGCTGTTGCGGTTCTTGCTCTGCTTCTTCTTCAACTTCATTGATGTCGGCGAAATTGGAATGAGCATTTGATTGTTTCCTCTCCATTGATCAGAGTTAATATGATACTTGAGAAACACAGGAGAAGATATTTCTTTTTCTCTCGAATGCAGAGGAAACATGTTGATGTATATAGAAAGAAAGATGCAATGGAGTAAGTTTAAAAAAAGCAAAGTATGTGGTTAAGGAGAAGAGATCACGAGAGAGCTTGTTGAATGGTGTGGTTTAAATGTGTGCATGTGAGAGCCAATACTTTCCTGGAAAGTTTCTTAGGTTTCTCGTGAAAATGTTTCGATCCAAACAGCTTGGAAAAAGAGAGACGATGACAAACCACAGATAGGAAAAGGCCGTTCCCTTAGTCACGACTCACGAGACTCAAATTGCAATAACCAAAATCAAATTGCATTTTGCTTATTTGCTCATCTTTCTTCTACCAAAACAAAACTTGAATCAGTTAAGTTGGACTGGTTCGGTTTAGTTAATTCGATTTATGTTTGCTCCATTCGTTTGGTTTTGATGTCTCGTAACTGATGAAACAATTCACAACTACAATGTGAGGTTTTGAAGTGGTTATTAATCAAAGCCAATTCGTTGCCTGTAGCCAACTTAAGTAAAACCTATCAACATTTGTTTGCATTTACACGACAATGTGACGTTACATTAGATGTCAAAAAAAAGAGTACGTAAACACACATTCTTAGGTATATATTTGAATTATGATCTTACATAAACAAACATATGTGAAGTAGAGAGAGAACATGTGTTTCAATCGTAAAGGCCTATAGGTTTGAAATATTGGAAAAGGGATAGAAAACAAAAAGAGTGGAGCTACCAAACATATGTGGAGAAGTAAGAATAGCATATATTCTTCTTCTTTATTTAAGAGATTTTGTTTCCATGGATTTTGGTCCCTTTGTTTTGCTTTACTTTTTCTCTTTATCCAAACAAAACAAAAACCTTTGAATCAATCACTGAGACAATACAAAAGTGATAATAAAATCAATGAATAGGCTTCGCATGAATTGGACCAAAAGACAAAACTCACATAAGCTGTCATAATCTATCTCCCTCTCTTTTCTCTCCTCTTATTTTCTTTTCTTACACTTTCTTGAAAACGAAAAGCAAAATATAAACATAAATTCTTGAAGAAAACTTGGTTTTTCCAATTAACACGTTAGACTTGTTGTATAGTTGTATAAACAACAATTATGAGAACGAAACCACAACAACCTGGATTTTGCCTACATTTTATATGAAATGAACTAATGAAGCATGTAATATATAACTACCCCTATTGATTAATATAACACGTTTAGTTTAAGTGTTACCACCTTAAAATGTTAGCTATATTGGAACACACATTAACAAGCTGTAAGTCTAATGATAAACCTTAACCCTACATTAGCTAAAACATCAATATCATATTTATCAAACCTATTTAATACTGACTACATTTTTGGATGCATGTTTGGTTCAGCCTTTGATTACTCAATTATAGTCAACAATAAGATGTGTTTGTGTTTGTGTGTCTTTATGCCTAACATTTTTCTTTTTTGTAACAAAGAAGGAAACTCTTCTGCTAAACACATTAGTTTTCAGATCAAAATAGTAGATCTCAAATCATTATAAGAATACAAATCTTACAAGTGAAATAATGAGCAAGTTGACATAAAAAAGAGCAAGTTGACAAAAACAAAGAAGGCAAGTTGCTAACAATTATATTAAAAAAAAAAAAAAAGGAAAAGGAAAAAAAAATATGTATACATTACCAAACAGATGAAAATGCGATTTCGCCTAACTGAAGAAGAACTCAAATCAGAAGTGGAAAGAAATTTAGTATTTTTAACTTTTTTTCATCACTATGTTTCGATAATTTTGGTAACACCAACTATAAAATAAAACATAACAGTACAAGAACAAAATAACAAATTTAAAACAAAGGAAGATAAAATAAAATATACAATCTTATTTCCTTTAATTATGCCCCCTACTTTTTCACTTTTGTTATAAATATATATATATATCCCCTCTTTTTTTTTCCATTTCATATCTTTTCCCCAATCTCAACCATTTACAATTAAATTGATTTGTCCCCTCTCTCAAAACGAACCAAACCGGTTCAAAAACAAATAGCAGAATTCCAAAGAATCAAGAAACTAAACCGAAAAATTAAAAATTAAAAATTACTTCACCGGTTTAAAATCCAATATCTTTCTTTTTCTTCTCACTTTCTATTTTCACTTCTGGTTAAGCAATTTGGATCTCTTCCTAGCTTCGCTATAGAGAACCACTCCCATAATGGTGACGCCAAACCCGGCAATCCCCATCACCGTGACTGGATTCCTAAATATCAGAACCGAAACTCCGGCAGCCACCGCGGCTTTCCCGTTCCCCAAAACCTGCAATGTGAGAGCACTTGTGTGCTTTGTCACCAAGAAATTTGTCAAGTTCACTAAATATGCCACTGTCGCATTCCCGGCTAGCAAGAAGATGATCAGTGGATCCGTCCTCGCCTTTTCTATTAGGATTCTTAATACGTTTCCTTCTATGTATAGTGTGAATGGTAGTAAGATACAAGCCGCCATTGGAGCCATGTATAGCAATAGATTCATCGAATGCAGCTTCTCTGATTCCGACGTCAGAATTATCCCCTACAACAACATTCACAGAAAATCCGGTTCAACCAAACCACGAAATAACTGGATTCAAACTCAGATTCCGTGAGATCCAAAACTAGATTCAGACGCAATTGAATCATACCCATGATAAACCAATACTATAATGTAAAATTCAAACAGAGACTGAGCTAAACCGGACTCAGTTCTGTTCGAAACCAAATTCCAGATTTGACACAATTAAACCAAATTCGGACAGATTTTAAAGAGAGATGTGTTGTAATAAAACTGAAATTGGAACACAGTTTCTATTGGTACTAAACCCGAAAATTCAAACCGATATTTACTGTTACAGATTTAAGAATTTAATACCTGGACGACGGATTTGAGAGCTCTGCCGGCGGTGGAAGCAACACAGATGAGGAAACCAAAGAGATGAAAAGAAGGTTCAGAGTTAGAAGCAAGAACGATGCCGGAGACGACGGGAAGAAGAGCCAAGTAAACTTCAGTGGACTCTGTTTTACAGGTAATGAGAAAAGAGAACACGGCGGTGAAGAAGGGCGTGGTGGCTCCAATGGCTTGATTAAACGAAACAGGGATGTAACGCAGCGACGTGTTGCCGCAGACGACGGAGAGACAAAAGATGGCAGATAAAGAGAGGATCTTCAAGAACTGACGGCGAGATAAGATGTGCTGACGTGGAACGATACCGGCGATGTTGATCACGGCGGAGCTGTAAGCGGCGCAGGAGAGCATGTGAGTCATGGTGAGGAAGATAGGGTAACGGAAACCGTAGTAGAAGAGGAGGTATTTGTTTAAGAGGAGGACTCCTATGTTAGAGCCGAACCAGGCTGCGATTATAGACGCCGTGAGGATTGCTGGAGATACGGTGGGGGAAGAGAGGAAGAATGGTTTGAGAGGCGAGGAGTGTGGAGGCGTTCCGGGGATGTCTACGATGGTTGGTGCGGGGGTTGCGGCGGCGTCGAATCTAGGATTGCTCATCCGCCGCGTTGTCCATGATTGAGCTTCAACCATTTCTTTGGGAGTAAGGGCAAAATGGGAATAATGAGTTTTTTCTTTTTATCTTCTCTAGAGAGAGAGAGAGAGAGAGAAAGTGTGAGTTTATTTAATCGTTTTCTGGTGAGGATCGAGATCTGAGAGTGAGGAGGAAGGAAGAAGAAGAAGAGGGAGAGATAGAGATGAATCGGACGGTGGAAATTTAGATTTTTAGCTGTAAAGGTATTGGGTGATATCAGCCGTTGGATCTTTATAGTTGGAGGGAATTGTTTTTATTTTAAAATAAATAAAAAGGAGAAACAAATACTTATTATAAAAGGAGAAATAAAAATGAAGATTCGAAGTCTTTTTGTGTTCGGAGAGACTCTCTAAGCCATATGAGTCAGAAGTGTCGGTAGTAGGTCCACGTTTGAGATCCAATTGGAAGCAATCCTCTATGACGCACGCCCACCCTAATCACGTAATTAATCACTCACTACTAATTTATTAGCCTCTCTTTTCAAGTTTTGTTTTCTTTAATTATTGTCCCTCAATACTAGCCCTGGGTAAAATATTCGTTAGATTCGCTTCGTTTCGATATTCGTTTCGATTCGATTCGAAAAATTCAAATATCTATAAGATATTGAACCGAAGCAAATATGAAAATCTAGTATTCGTAAAAACCGAAGCAAATAACAAATATTGAGTTTTTTTTAGTACCGAATATCCGCTTCGCTTCGTATATTTATATATATGTATAAATATAAATTATTATATAATACATATAATATATATGATATGTGTATTTATATATTTGGGTATATATCTGATATGCCTATTATTCAAATTATTATATTTTGGCTCGTTGGGTTTTTTTTGTTGCTAAATGTTGTTTTTAAACAAATAAAACTTTACTAGAAAAATCATTATTAAAAATAAAATGTGAGAATTCTATGGACGGTGGTTACATTTCCTTCTTATTTTGAAAATATGTCAAATAACAACCTCTAATATTTTATATTTTGCACTTTATATTTATGTACTATATATTTTTTGTTTAAAACAAAAATTGGATGGGTCGAAGCGAAGCGAATCAAGTAATTCGCAAATATTACGAAAATATTCGAATATTCGAAGTTCCGAATACTCGAAAATTTACGAATCGAAGCAAATAGCAAAATCAACTATTCGATCGAAGCGAAGCAAATAACAAATATCACAAATTTTCCGAATATTCGCTTCGTGCCCAGGGCTACTCAATACACTAGTAGTTTTATACAGTAGTTGGAAAAACACACTGCCCTAATGTCATGTCCTAATTCTTCTAGACTAGAACACGCCAAAATTATTATTAAACATCAGTAACAAAGATGGAATAAGTCATATGTGTGTATTTATAATAATATAATATGGTTAAATCAAAAGAAAATGGTGTAAAGATATATATATGGGATTTATCGTAACATGTAAACACCAAATGCGTCGGTGTTGACAGAATGGATAAAGCGTATAGTACAAAACAAATGAAATTAAACTTTAGTTTTCGGTTTTGAAATACTATACCATATAACATGTTATATTGTTATTTATAGTATTTTATGTAATGACGAAATGATTCAGTGTGTAGGTGTATATGTGTAATATTGATATGATGATGCCAATGCCAAACGAAGTAGTAGATCTCATAAAAGAAAATTCGTGTCACAACATCATTTAGCTTAATCTCTCGATTATTTACTTGGTCGATTTGTATACTAAGGATGTTTCATTCTGTTTCTCTAGATTGAATCATCCACTACATTATTGGTTTATATATCACTTTTGTTTTGTCAACATTTGTTTATACTAATATTTACGAATAGTCGAATATGTATATGTATGTTTAGATTTTAAAAGATGCATTTTAAAATTAATTATATTGACAATAGTACATTTTAATAAAGGTGGTCACAAATACCAAAATCAAATCAGATCTATCAAGTAATAACGCGATTTTTTCTTTCTTTTGAGCCAGCATTAATCACGCATTGAGTTTATTATTGACTATATGAATGACTATGGAACTGTATATGTATATATATGTCATGTCATGTGCACATGACAAATCTTCAAGTTTATCTAATTTCTATCAATCAAAGTTTACTACCAATTATGGTAAAAAATAAATTATAAAACGGGATTTTGGCCAATAGAATGCAATATTCTTCGCAAAAATAAATGCTACTTTCTGCAAAAAAAAATTCGCCTTGTACTGGTTAAATCAATATGAATACTTTTATTACACTTGCCATTTTGCCAACTGATCTCATGATACCATGCGATTGCTAATAATATCCAAAGGTAAATAAACAACTTGCACACCGTGGATTTTTAAAACTAAAATATCCTTAATGCGAAATATATTGTATGTATAAACATGATGTGAATAAAAAAAATTGATAAGTTCATTAATCAAATTACAAATTTACAAAACGAGAGAAACTGTTCGTTGACAGAAATGAAAAAGAGAATTGTCCCACATTGACAAGGAATCCAAACACGAAAGATATAATTATTTGTTTCTTTTTTTTTGGTATTATACGATATGAAGTGCATCTATCAATAAAATCATTTTTATCGTTATCACATCAATCCATAATACCCCCATTTCTCTTATAGCACGTAAGCGTGTTTATTATATGTGGAGATCAGATTTCAAATTATATGATTTATATAACACTAATACATGGAATTACCAGTTATCAATCAATTATCTACTACTAATAGATAAAAATCAACAATCCAATACCACACATAAATCATCAAGGTAAGATAATATTAAATACTGGAGAGTGTGGGATAGGTAAGAACTATCTTTACTTAGAAGGGACCAGTAAAACTTTACCTAAAATACTCAAAATGTCTTATTTTGTAAATTGCCTTGAGACAAATCAAATGATTACAGCACGTCACTTAAGTAACAAAACTTAATTCCAATGATGATGGATGTCTACGTATAATAATAATGCTTATGATATCAAATCACCTAACTAGCTAATCCTCTTATTTCCCATTATTAAATATTTAAGTAACTACATAACTAAATAAATTAGTATGTATATTGACCACATAAATTACATACGAATTGATGTCTAAAGTTTGATACTAACTTCTCTGTCTTTATTTTCTAAGTTACAACAAAACAAGCAAGAACAACTTAACTCTTTTTCGTTTTTTATTCTTTTAATGTAAGAAACAATTAAATAACATAGTATATGATGATTGCCACTGGCAATGTAAAGAAAGATTATATGATATAAGAATAGAGTCCTTATAGGACATCACATGTTCTTGGTTTTCAAAATTCTATGATTTAGTTACTCGTTATGAGTTTACAAGAATAAATAATGTGGGGCAGATTATTGTAGGAACCATTTGTTTCCATGTGCGACCCAATTCTAGTAGGGCCAAATAACAGTGGGAGCTAAAAGCTAGTTTGCATTAGGGCCATGACAACGATACATTATCTTAAACATTTGGTTAATACAAAAGTTATCAAAAAAGACAATTCATATGGCTTCGCCCGGGTTCGAACCGGAGACCTTCAGTGTGTTAGACTGACGTGATAACCAACTACACCACGAAACCTTTTGACCTTTGATAGATTTACAAATTATATCTACTTGTCGTTTCTGGATTAGCCTTACCTTACTGTCGTCGTCGCTCTTCGCCGTATTAGAACAGTACATTTCGTTACACACCACACAAAGGATTTGGTACGATACAAAAAGGTTCTGTTGTTTTGATACAAACATGAAATATCTAAGTTTTGATACAAAACAAATGTTCAATTGTTGCTACAAAACGTCACTGTCTTATCAATTTGTTGATTGTTATATTAAACCTTACTGGTCACGAAATCGCTGTTTGTAGCTTCCCATATAACAGTGCCATCACAAGTACAAAGCTTTTTGTAGTTTTCTCCAACTCCTGCGCTTCTAGCTATCACTGCTGCGGTCAATCCTGGGCCTGACTTATTATCCTCGGTCTTGTAAACCACTACAGCTCGCCCAATAAGATCCGCAACCTTGAGCTTCTCTTTCTTTCCCGAATAAAAGGCTTCCCCGTTCTTGTCTGCCTCTAGTGTTCCCAGGTCTCCCAATGCCTGACAGAGGAAAACAAAAGACAAATATAGCTTTTGAGTTTTTATAGGTTTGTGAATTGTGATGATATTATCGTGATTTTTAGAGTAAGCCTACCGACCTCTGTGCCAGTATGATCTTGAAACGGATTGTACAAGTTCCCCGTGCTGGCTGCTCCCTTTGTGAGATCTCCATACTCATTAATAGTCCAGCTGTGGGTTCCGGGAGACAAACCAGTAAAGTTGGCTTCGATTCTTGCAAGTTCCATACTGACCTGAGCAAATCGGACCACCCCGAAAATGTCAGGGCCTTTGAATTCCGCAACTGCAGCTGAGACTAAGAAATCTGCCAAACACATCACAAAGTTGAAGTAGCAAATGAGAAAATAGTCATCTATGAAAGACAGGACACGTAATCGTATAGTTAAATAACCCCAATCCAATACTTCTAATGAATCAGAATAGAACAAAGTGGCGGCAGTGTATCAAAGAGTGATTCACAGGTCAAATCCCAATGTAAATTTTCTTATCTTGTTTACTCCCATCATGAGCTGAGATAAGATATCTTAATTGTTTTGACTAGCAAAATAGTCTTCTAAAACAAAAAAGCAGAAGAGATATCTAACCTTGAGGAACACCTTGTCCAATTAACCGAGCTTTTCGACCTGTTTGCTCCAGAGCTTGGGTCATAGCCTTAACAGGGGAAGATCCAAGAATCCTCACAACTTGGTTGGACAAATCCACCTCCACGTTTTCAATCCCTATTAAAGATCACATTTCCATAATAAGCCGCAACAACAGAGTAAATCATAACCAAACAGACGATAAATAAAGTCCTATTTACTAACCTTCAATGGTTTCTAATTTGTTCTTTACAGCATTAACACAACCCTCACATTTCATATCCACCATATACTCAGTCTGGGAACAACAACAACAACATATTAAATTAGAGACACACGCCAAAAATTCTCAGTAGCTCAATCCAAAACAGCTTTATCAAATGATTTGTACTGGAAAGAGAGAGAGAGACTTACAAGGAGCTGAGGCATGACTCGATCCTCCTGCAAATCAAATTCAGCTACTTAAGTACCAATAAGAAAGCGAAAAAGGTAAAATTGGAAAAAGGGTAATTCAAAGTTTGAATCTTTTAACGGAAACCTGAGGGAGATTACGATCAGAAGTGAGAGCAGTCGTCATGGGAGAGCTAACGAAGCTTCGTGAAAGTCCTAAGCCACGTGGAGACGATCGGGAGAGGAAGGAGAAATTGAGAGATTGAGATTTGGGGTTGGTAGAGGAAGAAGAAGAAGAAGAAGGAGAGGAGAAAGCGATCGCGATGGGAATCGCAGAAGCGGCGGCTACGACGGCTGAAGTCGTTGCCACTGACCTCAGAATTGATGCCATTTTCTTGCTTCTTCAGCTTTTGCGGCTTTTTATTGATTTCTGACCCTTCACTACAAATCTTTAAATTTATCACTTTTATTTAATCTGTGAATAACATTTGTAAATACGGAATTACTGATATAATTAACGTGTTAAATATGATGGTTAGTATAACAAAATTCATCAAATATATATCTTCACCTAATTTGTGAACAAAATCAATGTACAATAATTGTTGTTACTAGAAACAGTTAAATAAAACAAATTACACGTTTTATCCAAAACCAGGAGGGAGTTCAGGGTCTTCTTCATCATCACTACATGCTTCTCCTTTGTTTTTTTCTTCTAAAGCTCCTTGGATCAGCTCTTGCTTCTGTTTACTCGCTGGACTGGTGTTGGAATCAGCTCTTGATTTTGGGACTGGTGTTGAAATCTTATGTTCCACTTCTCTAGAGGATGATCCGCATTTCTCGCCTCCCGGGTTAGCTAGTGTAGCGTAGACAGATTGTACGGTTTCTCTGATTTCATTCTTCATCCCATCCTCTGATCTTATTATCCCCCATAACCCATCTGAGAGCTGGCTCAGCATCTTGCTCCTATAAGCAAATAATTCAAATTCTTTAGTAATGCTTGTCATAAATAGTTACAACAACAAGAGTCAAGCTAGATAGCCTCTTAACTAACCCGACTTCTTTGAATATCGCATCAGAGAGTTGCCTGGTTTTCATATTTTGAGCACCTGATCGTTTTAAAGCTGTTGACTCCTTGACAACTGAAATCATCTTGTTTCGTAATTCCTCCTGCAATCCAGTTCCCACTTTTAATAGTCAGAACACAATGGCAATACATGCAGTCCAGAAGAACAAATCGCAAGATGTTTATCCAGCTGAGAAGTAACCTTCACTCTATATAAAAGCTCTACTAAGTTACGGAATTGACAATGCCAACTCGATGGATTACTCTAAAGACTCCTCAGAGATAATGAACAATATTTCAGCTACTGGTAACTAGACTAACCATTAAACAGTTCCCAATAAGTAAATACTGATAAACAGCCGGGAGAATCAGCCATAAGCCCATAGCTGTGATCTAACACTTAAAAGAAAACTCTCTCCTCTAAGATCTGATTCAGCTAAGAACTACTTAAGGCAATTTGGTAAACTCCCCAATTCTCCAAATCATCAACGGTTTGCTTACTTCCACGTCTCTAAAGCATCTTCAGATACACTTATCCCAAATCAAGATCAATGACCAAACTAACTTTTCCTATATAAACGATCGGAATCATCCCACATCAGCACAAATCTTCCCTGAGACGAAGCTAATCAACTAAAACTATCACCAGTGACAACATTACAAAACAGTAAAGAAAACATAGCAAAAGATCTCAGATCACTCAGACCCGAGTAGCTAACTGAGTAAAGTACCTAAAACCAATCATGGAGGATTGAGCTCAGTCTATATGAACTAAAGGAGCAAACTTTGCATCGAACTTTTAAAAAAAATATACTAATTTCTCAATTGTATTCGCTAATACTCATGTCAAACTAAGTAAACATTCCAATTTTATGAATCGAGAGACTATAAAAACACTAATTAGAGATGCAAATCCGAAGACAGGAAAAGAAAGAGAAATTAGGGTTTACGTTATCCTTAAGGCGGCGTATGATCTTGAGGCGGAGACGGTCAAAATCGCCGTCGTCCTTAAGCTTTTCTACAACTTCCTCTTTGCTTATCTTCCTCGCCATCGCCAATCTTCTCCTTCCTTCCACTGGATTTTTTTTTTTTTTTTTAATCTTAAAGTCAATTTATTAGTTACGGTATAAGTGATATACACACGGATAATTTTAAATTTTTGTTATTAATCTTTATTTACTCCAGAGGGGAAATATATTACAGTAGTAAGAAAATTATTACAAAATATCATGAAAAAAATAGCAAAAACTATAAAAATAATTTTTTTATAATCCAAAGGAAATATTATGAAAAAAATTTGGACAGAAAAGGGAAGTTTAAGCTAAATAATATAGCACTAGTATTATTTTTATGGAACATATCCCTATAAGATGGAAGTGTCACACCTAATCTAGTCCTTTATTCATTAAAAATATCCACCGATTATTGCAAAAATCATCATTTTTAGTATATTTCGAAGTGTCCCGATTTTACCAAAAACGATATATATATAATATATGTATATATATATATATGTATATATATTTCAAGTGTCCGCGTCATCATTCGCAATTTGGACTCCATATTGGCCCCTATATGATATTTTGGAATATTAAACCCTTCTTATGGTTGAGCAAATTGTGATTAACGAAATTTTGTGTTACCAAATCATTAAATTTTTATACGTACGTACGTCGCTTGAAAAAGCTATCGTGATTACTAGCTTTCAACATTTGTTGATCTTTTTGTTTTGTTTTTGAAAGAGTACATATGATGATCTTCTTCATGTATAACGTAATTTTCCATTTATCTCTTTAGTAGCCCTATTTTTCTTCATGCAATGATATAAACTATAATATTGTAGTTATAAGACCCAACATTAAAAGTCAGAGAAACAAAATCGCTCAGAAATTTAAGTTGAGATTAGAATGATGATAAGATTTATATATTTTTTAGTCCTGATTTCACATATCTTATACGACTATATACATGCTTAACTTTTTACTGATTATGATCTAAACAAGAGTATCATATTAAAGTATACGTTAGCCAACAACGATTAGATTTGCTCTGTAGATCGTTAGACATTTAGTATTATATGTAAATCGGGTCATTGTCCCCGAAATAAGTGCGATCGATTATGTTACCAAACGTTTTATTTAGACGCCATGCATGATGCACGCAATCATGTCTAGCTAGTGAAAATTTTAATCAAACATATATATATATATATAGTATCATCCTTAATTAGTACTTTTTTTTTTATTTCTGTGTGCACAGCAATGAAATTGACATAAACTCTTAAAATAACCAATTTTTTCGTTGATGGAAAAGCAAGTACCGCAAGAATATAAATATAGGGCCTATGATTGATTATATGTGTTCTAGGCGGCCTAGCTAAGAATTGATTAATGTTATTTCGGTATCTTTTGGCAAACTAGAAGATGACATATATATAATTGACTTTTTAATATTGCAATTTGCAAGTTACCGTTCGAGTAGTGAAGTTTTTCACACATACTAAACAGTTAGCTAGATAATTAACAACAATACATATGGCCTATAAACTCAAAAAAAAAAAAAAAAAAACAAGATGAAAAAGTCAATATATTTACAGACGAACATAAGAGTAGTAAAAAATGCTAAGAAATTAATTGAAACAGTTTTTCCTTTCTTACACAAGAAATGTATTTGAAACTGTTTTTGCTCTTTCCTTTGGATTTTTACATTATTGTTAAGTTAAAAATCATTTATCAAATTCAGGAACTTACTGTCGGATGAAACACATTTTAAATGTAAATTTCCTTGCGTAACTATATATTAATCAATTATAGCCACTAAATGTACAGCACTCAGATGAATAAATCGTTTAAAATGCCTTCCAAATTCAATATTTTTAATCTTTTATAATTAGTATCACTCACTCAATCGTATCTTTCGGAGATTTTAATGTTGTTTTCTTTGATGTCACAAAGTTTTTTTTCAAAGAAAAAGAAGTTGAATATATTGATCATCGTGCGAAAGTTTTAAAAAAGAAAAAAAAAAATCTTGGATGATATAAAATGACTAACATCATTGTTATAGAAATTCTACACCAAAAAAAAGAAAGAAAAACAATAGAACTCACTCAACCACCAACCAAAAAAAAAAAAAAAGGCATCATTTAATGGATTTTGCAGATTCTTCATCCTTCACACTAGATTTTGCTAATGAAAATTATCTCGATTTCTCTAGTTTGATCACTCCTTCAACACTTATATCATTCCAAGAACCTAATCCATGTAATCCCATCATTCAGAACGATGGAAGACAAAAGGTTCGTGAGACGACCATGGCAAGTGAAATCAGGAAAGGGGACGATGAGCCGAAGAACAAGAGAGCTAAACATAAGGATATTGAGAGACAAAGAAGGCAAGAAGCCACGACTCTTTACAAGAGTCTAAGGTTTATATTGCCATCTCATTACATTAAGGTAAGTGAGTGTTACTATTCGTCTATTCTTACTTATCCTCTTAATTAGATTCCTATACAAACTTTTCTTTGGTTTGACTAATCTAATCACAGTAATGAAAATTTGGCTTAAATAGGGTAAACGTTCTTCGTCAGATCACGTTGAAGAAGCTGGGAATTACATCAAAGACTTACAGAAGAAGATCAAAGAGATCAGTGAGAAAAGAGACCGAATCAAGAGCACTGTTACTCATCGTTCTTCTTCGACAAGCAGATGTTCTTTAAGACCATTAGCATCATCAACATCGTCAACTTGTTCCTGTTTTGGAGACACACACATGGCTGTTGTGGTTAGGCCTTGTTTGATCGGACTAGAGGTCGTAGTAAGTTGTTGTCTCAGACACGAATCTTTTCTTTCAAGTGTTCTTCAGCTTCTGACTCAAGAGCAATATTGTCTTAATGTTGTTAGTTGCATCTCAACTAGACAGCCACAAAGTTTCATACACACCATTGTTTCTGAGGTAATTTAATATTTTATAAATATAATTCTCTACTGAATTATGATGTTAATTAAAGAGGGTGTAGATATTATCAATAATTATTTTACGGAAGTGCTTAAAATTGTGCAGGTCGTGGAGGGAATTGAGGTTTATCACTCAGAGATTCACGAAAAGATAATGAAGATGGGAAGAAGTTCATATGAATATTTATATTAACTTTTGTTTCCTGGATTTTTCTTTTCATGAATATATTTTCGATAAAGGAAATAATGTAACTTGACAAAACAAAGAAGAAAAACTGTTATTATAATCACGTCTTCCTAAATGTAGTGTTCAGTATATCACCATGACTTTTGCAGAGTATGATGATACTATCATCATCCACCAACATGGTCATGTTCATAATTATCATAGAAGAAGAGATCAAATTGAATGGACCAAGATTTATAGCTTTTGATGATTTCTGTTTGAGCTTGAAACGATTTCTGACTTCTCCACAAGTATTATACTATACATATATATGTGTTAATGTGATCGTGGTATCATCATCATCCGTGTTTACCATATAGTATATGTTAAAAAATATCACATCCGAAAATGAACAATGAAAAGTTATTGATTGTCATATTTATGTTGATAATTGTCGAACAGTGTTGACTAAATTCCATCCCTAAATTGGATTTCCTGTTTAATTAATGATTCCTTGATTGATTAAATTAATAACCAGCTAATAATCAGTTTTGTTTTGTGCTCGTTAACTAAAAATTGATAAAAGTATGACCGATGTTTCAATCTTTTATTAGATGCCATGCAATCATCATGGATATAAAAGAATAGAATTAAAGTATTTTTTTCCCACTAGTTGATATATAAACATAAACCATTTAACTTTTCGCATGAAAGTGACATAAAATCCTAAAGTATCAAGTTTTTTTCCTTAGTGGAACTGGAAACAGTACCGAAAACATTTTAGTATAAGTCTATGATTAAATTTTTGTTGGACGGCCTAAGTATTAAATAATATCGTTTGCCATTTTTGTAACCCTGCTTGGTGATACAAATCAATGACAATAAAGGAAACCTTTTATATATACATAAACAATGACAATAGGGGAGCTGTCTATCTCTCAGAGTGTGGGTGGGTTAAAAGATCACGCATCATGCAATCTATTTTGTAGCTCAAGGTCCTCCAAATTGGCTGATTAAAAGGACCTCTTAAATTAGATGATAACATGAAGATGGAGGAGATGATGGTTAGTGACGAATGGAAACCAAACAAGGAAAAAAAGACCAAGTAAGATGTTGAAGAAGATATCAAAAGAAGCACCATAGATATTAGAGGAGATGAAAGAAGAAAAAATGAAGAAAAACTATCCTACATTTAAGTATATATGCAGCACATTTTAAACATAGGTTAACCTAGCGTAATTAATAGCCATTAGCCACTAAATGAACAGCTCAAGGGGTTAAATCTTTTTAAAAGCCTATCGAAAAACAGCTCAAGGGGTTAAATCTTTTTAAATATTTTATCTAGTATTCACCCACTCGCTCGTCCGGTCCGGGCGTAAAACTTGTCGGGGGGAAATGTCTTTCCCTTTCTTTTCTTTTGTGAAGACAAATTTGCCGTCACAGGCAGCGTTGGTATAATAGAGATTATTAGAAAACATATATATATATATATATATATTAAAACTCAAGAGAACCCAATGACTCTTTTATCACCACCAAAATTCCCACCACAAGAAGAGAAAAAAAAAAAAACGAAAGATACATCATAGCCCTATGGATTTTTCATCTTCTCCATTGTGCACACCTGATTTTGTATATGAAGACGAATTAGATTTCTCTAGTTTGTTTTCTCATTCAACACTCCAAGAACCTAATAATCCATCTATTCCGGTTACTCATATTGAAGCCGGCGGAAAGAAAATAATTTGTGAAATCACAAAAGAGGACCATGATGAACCGAAGAACAAGAGAGCGAAACTTAGAGAGATTGAGAAACAAAGAAGGCAAGAAGTCACGTTTCTTTTCAAGAATCTAAGACATATATTGCCATCTCAGTACATTAAGGTATAGACATATTACTTAATAATTTTCGTCTTTACTAATTGGATCCTTAAACAAAACCTAATTAGTGAACGATAAATATTTAATTTTATGAGAAAGTTGTTAAAACTGTGTAGGTGGAGGAGGGAATAGAGGTTTATTTCTCAGAGCTTGAAGAAAAGATAATCAAATCATGGTTAGGTTTATACTGTGTATTATTTCCGGTAACAAGTATGTTTGTAAAAATATATATGAAATTAGTGGAATTATCTGTTTTTACTTAAATTTATATGGATTGGCAATTGTTCGAGATATTATAGTTTATATTTTTCTGGTCTTTTGATTTGCAAAATAATGATATGTAAATTGCAGGATTCATGTTTCTTATACTAATTGTTTGTTCATTTGCCTTTGTTAGACATGTCCTTATCAATGTTTATTATTATTTTTTTGTTATGTAAAGAATTCAAAAACTAACATAGCAGAGAAGCTAGAAGTAGAAAAAAAGTATAACAATACATATGACCACTTCTCCATTGTTTTTTTCCAACACTCATTGTACTAATAGTTCTAAGTTTTTCAACTATTGGTACATAAAGAAGGCACATGGTGACCCAAAAAAAAAAAGAAAAAAAAAGAGAGCCACATACAGTCGTTCATGTCATTAGAAAAATAAAATAAAACCAAAGCTCCCAATGGTTTTCCATTCTCATGGAGTCATGGGATCATCATCTTTTCCTTTCTCACTGAAAACCCTCACTTAAATTCACCATGATGTGACGTACCATTTGACATTGCTAGAGTAGAATAAAGATCGTAATGAGGTTAAAAAATATATTTCCTAGATGACTTTTATATTATGTTATAGGGGCGGACTTCTTTGAGGAAATCGAAAGTAGCACCCATTGGAGTATGTGAAGTAAGATTTGATAGTAAGCAATATGTTTGATCATATTTGTGATGCTAATGTGTGTTTAGAGACCAACTATTTATAGAAGATTATGTGAGTTAAAGATTTCCCCTTTATTTCCGGTGCAGAATTATTGTTTTGTTCACAAATTAGGAGGAAATAATTCTCATAATATTCTATTTTTAAGGAATATACCAAGTATATATAATATATAATTTGTTTGATTTAATGCAATTGATTAGTTTCTATTGTCGATTTTGTATTTAGAGAGAGATTTGGGGGAACCTTTCAAATAAAATAATATGTTCATCATAAATATGGTTTCCGTTTTTAGTACAAAAATCATCATAAATATGGTTATTAATACCGCAAAATCATTTCGAAAATCTCAAAATATTTAGCTTGCAAATCAGCTAATTTTTAGGGATCCTATAAGTTAAATTTGTTGAATAATCGTGGAAACAAATTTTAGAAATATTAGAGAATAGTTAATTAAAGCCAATGGCAGGACTTTGTAAATAAGTGAGCTAAGTGAGGGTTTTTTCATAACTGTCTTCAAAAATATTAATATAGATAAGGGAATTAATGTGTCCGTGTGTTAACGTGTTGTTTTGTTTGTCTTTTGACTTTGGCACTGGTTTATGTTCGTATTAAATCGGACTAAAACAGGGATTAGCATAATAGCTTTGGTTGAATGTTTCTCCAAGCCCACATGGACCGAAGTCCACAAGTTCAAGTTGCCCACAAGTTCAAGTTGCCCACATGTGGACCGGCTTCGTTTTTAATACAAGTAGGCCTTACAAATTCTATGAGTTGAAGACCTAGGAGGATCTTTTCTTGAAGTCGTAGCCCCACACACCAAACATTAGTTCTGTTTTTGTACTTTTCCTAAATCTTTAATTTGTCTTTTTGATGAGGATGTTGTTTTGAATACACGTTTTTTTTTAAGATGTTTATAATAAGGTGATTATGTAAGTAGGTGTGTCATGAGAATTTTGCCAAATCACATTTTCCTAATACTACTAGTGTTTAACAAAATAGCTCATATTCATTCATATGCACAAATGAAACCATTAAAATTATTAATTTATGGAAACTACGTTGATGGATGAAAAAAAAAAGAAAAAAAGGAAACTACGTTGATGATAAAAATTCGTACAATGTGATCAATTATTTTCTTTCTTTATTTGGTATAAGTTACAAGTTTACAATGTTTATAACGTTTTTTTATTTAGATAGCTATTAATTTTTTAGTAAACATAATAATGAAAAGATAATTATTATATAATCAAGTTCAACCAAAGATTAATTGCTTTACCAAACTAGTCAACTACAGAGTCTTGTCTCTCTCTCTCTCTCTCTCTCAGCTCAAACATCAATGGCGGAAGCTTCAGATTCTCCGCTCGTACTCCTTCACCGACCACCGTCTCTGACTTTCATGGACGAGATTCTCAATCGCAACTTCCGAATCCTCAACGCTGACACTTCATCGGAACCACTCCCGATCTTCCTCGACCGTCACGCCTCCTCGGTAAGGGCTTTCGTCGTCGTCGGCAGACTCCCTATAACCGCCGAGATCCTCTCTCATCTCCCTTCTCTCCAGATACTCATCTGTACAAGCGTCGGCATCAACCACGTCGACCTCGCTGAGTGCATGCGTCGCGGCATCGCTGTAACGAACGCTCGCAACGCTTTTTCCGATGACGTCGCGGATTTCGCCGTCGGGTTGCTTCTAAGCGTCCTCCGTCGTATCCCGACCGGCGATCGATATGTTCGGTCTGGTGATTGGGAGAAGTTGGGGGGATTCCCACTAGGGTCCAAGGTTTGTCCGAAATCATACACTCTCAAAGTCTCAATTTTGAAATTCTGATCTTTAACTCTAGTAAGCTTAGATCGGTTTAAATCAATCTAGGGATTAGGTGTGGCTTAGGTAAAGGGTAAAGTATGAAACTTTTAGCTTAGTGATCCTTAAAAGACATAGCTTTTAGACTTGTGGAGATACAGAACTAGCGTGTTTGAGTTTGATCAAGAGAAAGATGAAAACTTTTGTCTTTGGGTGGGCCTTGTTATGTGTTTTAGTACTTAGTACAATTAAGTCTTTTTTCTTTTTGTGTTTATGATAATCTTTCTTGTTACAGGTAAGTGGCAAGCGAGTTGGGATAGTTGGATTTGGGAGCATTGGTTCTGTTATCGCTAAAAGACTTGAGGGCTTTGACTGCGTCATCTCTTACAACTCGAGGAGTGAGAAACCGAGTATTCCATACCGGTACTTCCCCGACATTCTCTCCTTAGCAGCCAACAACGATGTTCTCGTCCTCTGCTGCAGTCTGACAGAGCAAACGCACCACATTGTGAACAGAGAAGTTATGGAGTCACTTGGTAAAGATGGGGTTATCATCAATGTGGGACGAGGGTCGTTGATTGATGAGAAGGAGATGATCAAGTGTCTAGTCGATGGTGTGATTGGTGGTGCTGGTTTAGATGTGTTTGAGAACGAACCGGCAGTTCCTGAGGAGTTGTTACGTTTGGACAATGTTGTCTTGTCTCCACATTCTGCTGTGGCCACGCAAGGGTCTTTGGACAATGTTACAGAGATCACTCTTGCTAACTTGAAGGCGTTCTTCTCGAACCAGCCTTTGCTTTTCCAGGTTCAGTTTGATTGAGGGAGCGTCCGGTTTAATCAAAGTGGCTCTTCTTTTTTTTGGACAAACTGGCAGTGGCTAATTTATCAATCTGTTGTTTATTAATCAAATAATAATTCGATAAACAGAGGAAAGTCTGTATTCATGCGACATGCTTTGGCTTTGTAGTAAATTAGTGTTTCCATCTCGTGCATTTAAGGAAGATTCAATATTGTGTTAACAATGAACACTGAATCGTGATTTAGTTGGTCACAATCAACATTTTAAGAATTCAAAATTTTATAACGTGAGTCATCACAGCTTCACCGCTCTCTACACCCACACCTCGCTGGAATCACTCCCGGATTTCCTCTCTAGTCATGCTGGCTCTGTCAGAGCCGTTGTCAGCCTCGGAAGGCTTCCCATTCCCGCAGAATTTATATCCAACCTCCCTTCTCTCGAGGTAGTGGTTTGCGCCAGCGTCGGGTTCGACCACGTCGAATACAAAAAGGGGTTATATGAGACGCTTGGGAAGAATGGGGTTATAATAAACATTGGTCGCGGCGGGCTTATCGATGAGAAGGAGATGGTGAAGTGTCTGGTCGAAGGAGTGATCTGGGGAGTGGGTTTGGATGTGTTTCAAAACCAATGAGATAGCGCAATTGAAGGGGTTTTCTATTTGACCACAACAAATATCAGTAAACTTCATAGCCTCGTAGGGACAACCGTACGGACGGTAAGAAGGGTTATATAACTAAACTATTTATCTAATCTCTAAATTATTTACCGATCTAATTAATTGACAGGCAATTTCACAAAGAAGAAGAATTAACCACGCATAATTGAAATCGTATAATTTAAAACTTTCAATTCAATCTAAGGAATAATTGATTCAAGTATTAAAATATCATAAATGCATATTACAATTTCTTTTTATGTTGCATATTTCTTTATTAGTTGACAAACGACGACAATACAAAAATTAATGTCTGCTGGTTACTTTAACTAATCATTGTTAATACATAGACGCACGTATAGAGAGATTAGATAAAGTCGGTACACGAACCGCTTATAGAACTTGCTCGCACGTCAAATTGTACTTTATATATTGTAAAACTTTTCTCAAACAACAATTGACTTGTTTTTTCTATGTTTTATTTCATATTTTTCTATCGCTAAAATTCAATGAAATGAAACAAATCCCAGTCAGTACGGAAAAAAGTCTCCAATTAAAAAGGAGATAAAAAAAAGGATAGTGACCCTCACGTAGCCACCACCACTGTCGTTGAATAAACCCCTCTATATAAGATTGTCTCTTATTCGATTACTTCGTCAACAAACAAACAAAACACAAACCCTAATTAAGAAAACGAAAAGTCTAGAAAAAAAAAACTGAAAATGGGTCCAATCTCAAGTTCTTGGAGTTTCAACAAATTCTTCGCGATTGTTTTTGTCGTTTTCGCCATCTCTGGTGAGTTCGTCGCTGGATACTATCGACCAGGCCCATGGAGGTATGCTCACGCCACTTTCTACGGCGACGAGACCGCTAGTGAAACTATGGGTACGTTAACATTTTCATTTCACTTCTCAGCTTGCATATATCATTTGCATGTTTTTTTTCTTTTTGGTTTAAATATCATTTTCATGTTCTCTGAACCTAAACTGATATATGATCACAATATGTAGGTGGTGCATGTGGGTACGGAAACCTTTTTAACAGCGGATACGGTGTGGCCACGGCAGCGCTAAGCACGACGTTGTTCAAAGACGGTTACGGATGCGGCCAATGTTTTCAAATAACGTGTATGAAGTCACCGCATTGTTATTATGGAAACCCATCAACGGTGGTCACAGCCACCAACCTTTGCCCTCCTAATTGGTACCAAGACTCCAACAACGGTGGTTGGTGTAATCCTCCTAGAACCCATTTCGATATGGCTAAACCGGCTTTCATGAAACTCGCTAATTGGAGGGCCGGTATCATCCCAGTTGCATACCGAAGGTATATATATAGGATACGATCGAGACTTAGTTATTCAACTTCATATATAATCCAAAACTACATAACTAATATATGTGATTGATGAATATAGAGTGCCATGCCAAAGGAGTGGAGGTATGAGGTTTCAATTCCAAGGCAATGCATACTGGCTTCTGATATTCGTCATGAACGTTGGCGGCGCCGGAGACATCAAGAGCATGGCCGTGAAAGGTAGCCGGACGAATTGGATAAGCATGAGCCACAATTGGGGAGCATCTTACCAAGCATTCTCGTCTCTGTACGGTCAATCTCTATCTTTCAGGGTCACTTCTTACACCACAGGTGAAACCATCTATGCTTGGAACGTTGCTCCAGCTAACTGGAGCGCCGGTAAGACTTACAAGGCCACTGCCAATTTCCGTTGAGACTTGCGCTTTTGCCCTTGCAAACCCAAAATGGGTTTCTCTTTTTCATTTTTGTTATTCCTTTTTTTTTGGGTGGGGGATTTTGAGAAGTTTCGGAGGCCTTTTGACTTTTGTCATGGGATTTGTATTGGCCCGGCTTTATGTTATACATCGACATGTTTGTATAATGTATGTATGTATCTAATTGTGATATAACTCTTTTTATAATATGATGAAGTTAAAACTTCCTTGACCAAGATAATTTCGGTATGCTATTTGAAAATTCTCTACCAATAAATCGCTTTCTTATGTTCTTTTCACCGGATATATCGGTCTCCAATTTCACCGCATTCGGTCTACTCCAAGACTAAAAGGCCATGGTGAGAGTTTTTCTTTTCTTTTCACTTTTTTTACATCTTTAAACCTCTTCAATTACAAAAGTTAATATTAGTCCTCTTTAGACTTCAAGTCACTCAAAGTTCTTGTTTGTTTTTTTTTTTTTTGCTTCTGCTCGCAAATATATATGCATGTATGCATGTTAAGTTGGTCCAATGATAAATACCAAAAAAATTACCAAGAAAAATATATATTATAAGCTATTAAAATCAGTGATTTATAAGACCTTGATACATTTCATTTTGAATTTTCATATTTTCACAAACACTTATCAGATTCAAAAGTCTACTTCTTGGTGAATCTTTCTCTCAAGATCTTCACACCCATATACCTGCATGCGAGTATTGTTGATTAAGCCTTTAGCCACACAAAAAAAATGAACATAATATGTATATTGTATTTGTATGTGATTATTTATACCTGCCAAGCATCATAACCGTGGCTTGAGGGTTTGTCCCTGGACAATAACCAATGGTCGACATATCAATGACTCTAAGTCGGTCGATACCAATAACTTTGTAATCCCCATCGACCACTCTACCCACAACACATCCTCCATGGTAATGCCAAATTGTTGTAACCGTATGCTGACAAAATTCCTCAGCTGATGGAGGCAACGAGGCTCCAGGACCACTTCGAGGCGGCCTTAGATTGACTGGAGTACTCGCCGTGAGGTTAAGCAAATACTCAAACGACATATCCGCGTACTTATACCTCGCAAATGCCTTAGATTGCACGACTCTCTCTATGGTTTGGATCCCTCGAACACAGCGTTTTAGGTCGTCCGGATGTTGGAAATAGTTGAAAGTCACGACCGGGTTATCTCTCGGGTTTCGGGTCTTGAGCTCTAAATGACCCGTTGATAGTGGACCCATTACTTTCTCTAAAAGAAAGCCTCCTTGAAAAGGTTGTGCTGATGATAATTTGGTCATTGAATTTGACTCTAGTAATGTTGCTCTTGGTGAAAACATTGCGTAGTAGTCTCTAGTAGATGAACCACTAGAACCACCTCCACCAAAATTCTCACCACCGGCGGCCTCTACGTATGTTCCTTCGCCGGTAATCCCAACAACCTCAATGAGTGAAACCTCGACGGGTACCGGGGAAGGGATGAACACGGCGTTCATAGGGTTATCATACATGCCTTGACCCACTTGAGGCTGGTCCATCACCACCGTGATATTTTGGGCCTGTAGTTGAGCTGATGGACCAACGCCGCTTAGCATCAGAAGTTGTGGACTCCCAAGGGTTCCGGCCGATAGGATGATCTCACTTAATGCACCTTCCTTTAGGTAAGCTCGGTGGGCCTGACCAGTCTGGTCTCTATACACAACTCCGTTAGCTATTGGCTTGGTGGTACCTTAAACGTGAATAAATGGAAATTTCAGAGTTAGCTTATATATATATATATATATATATATATATATATATATCATATGATATATAATGGTAACAAAATGAATTAGAATAAAGTAATACGCAAGACTTGATTTTGGGACAAAAGCAATAGACTAAGAGAATTTACATGAAATGTGAAAATAGGGGTTATATCGTATGTACAGTATTTTTTTTTGGACAAAGTACAGTATTTATTTATTAGATGATTTTATACTAAAAATGTTACATTAAAGTACCTCGAGTCCGAAACAAGATCCGGTGGACTGTGGCATGTAAAAGGACGGTAATACCCTTAGGATCGGCGTACTCTAGCAAATCGGCGGCGGTGTGTCTATGGCCGTTGTGGTCAAAAATAGTACCGCCAAATTTGGTGCCATTAATGTGATCATAAGTGAAACCATTGTTAGGGACAATCCCAACCTCCAATAAGCCGTCTCGCACGGCGGTTTGCCACCTCCCCATCGGAGGCTGAAACGCCACTTTAGCTTCGACCCACTGGTACGACTCGTTCGCTAGCGCTCCGTCCCAACCCATGTTCCTAACAACATGTCAATTCGTATTAATTATTTATTATAACGTCGCACCAAACGCAACAACAATAATAACGAATTTGCCACACACAAAAAAGAAAAAAATAACAACAATAACTACATCATGTACGTACGTTTGTACTATGTTAACACGTTAGCAGATTTAAATGAATATAGTTACATATATCATCAGTCGTCCTACATATATTAATGTATTCCTAAGTTGATCGATCATATATTTATTTCCATGGACTATGATGGTAACTTTTATATAATTAAAAAGGGCCAACTCCTGAGTAATATTCGGATACTTTATGTCATTCAAAGCACTCGATCGAACTACGGTTTTCCAATTTCAGTAAATATACGCTATGCACATTGCATTGCACGCGTATTAGTGTATAATATGCACAAACCTAACATATTTGGTGTCGGCACGTGTGTAGAAGCCGGCGTTGAGAGCGCTTCCGCCACCGAGAACTCGAGCACGTGCGTTAATGACGCCGTCCTCCGACACAAAACGCTGAGATGGTGAGGACTCAGACAGGTCAGAGAGAGCGGCTCCGAAAGAAGAGAGCCTCGTGATGTTGGGGTTGTTGTACGGTGCGCCACCGCGTTCGAGCAGCAAAACACTAGCGTTGTGAGACAGCGTTGCGGCTAGAGGGCACCCGGCAGTCCCACCACCGATGATAATGTAGTCGTAGTACGACGTCGTCGGGCTTTCTCTCGCGTCCCGCATGAAGGAGTAGTTTGGAGCTGCGACCAAAAAGGTAACGCATAACGATATAAATAAACAGAGATACATAAAAACCTAGTTGTAGTATATGAATATCACCTTTGTCAGAAGAACAAATTGGAGAATGGATGAAAAGTGAGAGAGCAACAAACAATCCCCATGACCAAAATCTATCCACCATTATTACAAATTTGAAGTTAACAAAAAAAAAAACTCTAGAGTAGAATTTTATCACTTGGTATGACTAAATATATGTATATGACAAGATATGTAGGTTGTTTTATAAAAAGCTTTGTGATAAAACCTATGGTTGAAATTAATGGTTTCGACCATTCCACTATTTATATAGCTAGGAGAGGCAATTTAAGAGTCCATCTAATTCTGAGGAAATGCAACTTCAAGATTGTATGTCTTTTTTCATGGACACGTGTGAAATCGAGAAGCAGATAAAATACCCACAAAAGATGAATAAACAAATGTAATTGTAAAGAAAATGCAAATTAGGTGGGATGTATCATGGGAGAAGAAACTAAATGGACCGATAAAATGTATAGGCAATGCAATATAGAAATCGATACACTCTCTAACCTGTCTCTCTTGGATATGATGAATAAAGAAATATGAAAATGATGGAAATAAAAATTAAATACTATATTATATATTTAGCGACCAACGGTCCAACGTCCATTAATAGACAGTTGGTTACAGTTAAAAATGCACCAACTCTTTCTCGTTTGATCGTAATAAGCCGACTATTTTAGGTGGAAATAATTGACATGGGTTCGTATATTTGAAACGAGATTAGCATTATAGGTTTTAAAATCAACCTTATTGGTCATCATTTCTAGCATAAAATTAATCATCACGACAATCGATATAATCTGCAGATGATGAACATTTATATGTTATTTAGTCATGAATTTTTTTAACTTGATCTCAGTTGCTAAATTGTTTAAAACGACTTCATCCAAAAAAAAATACCACTAATATTAATATATAGAGAGAATATATGATTATAGATTACACAAACTAGTGATAATAATAATAATTAACTATGCACCAACCAAATTGGTGATTATCTTATATGTAAGACGGTTGCTAGTTGCTACTTGCTAGCACATGATCAGCCAGTGTCATTAACTCTATACAGAGTACTAGCTACAGTATTTTAGTAGAATTCTACATATATTCTGTGTGTTCTCAATTTATATAATGATAAAATTATATGGGCCAAACTATTTTGCGCCTGAGTCGATTCAATTATCAAACGAAACGGACTAAAAGCCCATCAATCATCCCTTTTCTCCTTTGTCCAACAATACAGACATTTTACTCTCTTTTTTTTTTTTTGTCCTCAAAAACCCACCTCACCTAAAATAGTAGAAATATATAAAACGATGAAAACGAACAGAACCCTTAAATTTAAATGGATCTAAGTTTGAGAATCTTATTATGATGTTCGAACTTTGATATCGTGGTGTGTATACATATTTGGCTATTTGCCCACATCCAAAACAATATAATTTGTAAAAAGAATGTATAAGGAAAAGAAACTAGTGGAGTACAGTAGTAACTATGTAGTAATGCTGTGTACAGCTCATATATTATCAACATGGAAATACACAGATACAGAGAGGTCTCTCTCTAGTTGTCAAAAGCATAGACAAACCGAACTGACTCTAATGATTTGATTAAGTTACCTAAAAACAATAGTATACATCTAGTAAATTCAATTATTAGTTTACACAATCAATTTATTAAGTGTATAAGATAGTCTCAGACAGCGAAGAAGAGCATAAAAAGTGGAAGACAAACTAGGTCCCGCTTGCTTCGTACGGCCAGCAAAATTACAACGTGGCATACTTGAAATGGGCTATTTGCCCTGAATCTATTTATTCTTATTTAATATTCCTTTATATAGTCAGTCACCAACTATGAAAAAACACTTTGTTGGATAGGTTTCCTCAAGAGGGCTATACAAATCCGTAGTTTTTTTTACTCTCTTCTGTCCAATCCTGCCTGAAAAATCTTCACTACCATTCTTTTTTTATATATGTATTAGTTTACTCAAAACATGGGGAATAGCATGTTTTATATAAGTCGTTTAGTTTCTTTCTCTTTTTAATGCAGCAAACTTTAAAACATTTAAGTAATGGTATAGTTGTAATTGTAGTATTCCATATTCTGTTTACAGTTTTTTGATACATGATTACATCTTTCTTTTTTTTTTTATCAAAAGAATGAAAAAATTAGCAAAACTCTATTTCACCACAAAAAAAAATAAAAGTATGATAAACCAAAATATTTGAATATCTTTATAAACACTAAATTCAATATTCGTGGATAAAATGGCTTCTCACGTCGCGAATGGTCTAACCTTAGAATCAAAAAAAATATGAGGTCATAAGTAGAAATTAGATAAAAAAGCAGTGGTCTGAATTGTAATTAAAGAAAGAAAAAAAAAACACTTCTCGTGAAGTAAGTAAACGTGAAACTGGCTCTCCCGGTAACAAGTTGACACGGCATTTTATTTGAAAGAGAAGAGAGAAGAGAGAGAGCAAGTAGAAAGGACTGGGTCTGGTCTCTTCGCTGCAACCTATAGCTCTTCGACGGGATTCTCACTACTCTTTCCAAATTATAAAAAGAGGTAATTTTTTCCAGAATTTTTCTCTCTCTTTATGAATAAAATCTCATCTTTTTGGTTGGAGTGATTTGTTTTTGTTTTTTTTTTAAAAAAATTTTGAGCTTGCTTGCTTACATACAAGTTGAAGCAGCTGGCGAACTTTATGCTCCTGTTCGTATCTAGATTCCTGCAAGTTTCTTCCTTTCTCTCTCTCTCTCTCTCTCTCTTTGTGTTGCTAACTTTAAGGCTCTATTATTTGATTAAGTCGAGATCGAGATGCATTTCAATAACCCAATTTAGAGGGTTTTGCGTATTTTTTATTGGACTCTTTTGAGCTCGGAAATCGAGTAATCCTTTGATCTATGGGTCTCGTTTTTGTTGTTCTCTCAAGCTAAACTGCGTAAAAGCAATTTGGGATTCATTTGTGGGAATTCAAACGCATCAAAGCTGGAATTTTTTTTTTTAATTATCAATTCACTTTTTGAATCAGTGCTTAATCTCTGAGGTTTATGTATTGAAACTTTACAGATCGGAGGATCCGAAGGTGAATGCAGCTTACGATTTCATCGAAGAGTAGATTTGCCTGTTGGATTAGGCCTAATTGGGGAATTATATAGCTGTAAGATTGTAACTGAGAGATATATTGCTAGCGGAACTTGGATTTTTCCGGGAAGTTTTTTTTGATCGTTTGGAGGATATATGGGTATGGACATAGCTGATAAGGAGAATACAAGTCCGCTTTTATTTGAATTCTGCCATTGCTACAAAGTTGCAAGCCTCACTGAAACCATTCTAGACCCTGTCAATGTTTCCAACTTAAAAGATCGATATGTGCTTGGGGAACAGTTAGGTTGGGGTCAGTTTGGTGTCATAAGAGTGTGTTCTGATAAGTTAACTGGAGAGAGGCTTGCTTGCAAGTCTATCTCTAAAGACAGGCTGGTTACACAGGATGACATGAAGAGTATCAAACTCGAGATCGCGATTATGGCCAAGTTAGCTGGCCACCCGAACGTTGTGAATCTCAAAGCGGTTTATGAGGAGGAAGATTCCGTGCATCTTGTGATGGAACTATGCGCTGGCGGTGAGCTTTTTCACAAGCTTGAGAAATACGGGAGGTATTCGGAGTTGCGTGCTAGGGTGCTTTTCAAGCATTTGATGCAAGTGGTCAAGTTCTGTCACGATAGCGGTATTGTCCACAGAGATTTGAAACCTGAGAACATTCTTATGGCCACAATGTCTTCTTCATCTCCTATCAAATTGGCTGATTTTGGGCTGGCAACCTATATAAAGCCTGGTAAGATAGAGAAAACTGTCGTTTTTCTAAGTTATCAAATCCTGAAATGGACATTATGAATTCTAAGAATGGGTTTTCGTTTGAGCAGGCGAAAAGTTGAGCGGGACAGTTGGTAGTCCGTTTTACATAGCCCCTGAAGTGTTGTCAGGAGGATATAACCAAGCTGCTGATGTATGGAGTGCAGGGGTTATTTTGTACATTCTTCTCAGTGGAGTACCTCCCTTTTGGGGAAAGACTAAGTCAAAGATTTTTGATGCTGTCAGGGCTGCAGATTTGAGATTTTCTGCAGAGCCATGGGATCATATAACTTCATACGCCAAGGATTTGATCCGGGGAATGCTTTGTGTTGATCCTTCCCAAAGGTTATCAGCTGATGAAGTTCTAGGTATTTCATCTTTTCCATTGTTTTCTTGTAAACTTGAAATGAGTATTTGCTTGAATGGTAGTTATGAGAAAGTTATCCATGTTCCTAAACTGGCAAAGACACCGAGATATTACTTTAATGTTGTCTATACGTTTTTGAATTACAACAGAGTGATCACTTTTTTGCGTATTTGTTTGTAGCTCACTCGTGGATGGAGCAATTATCTGAATCAGGTCAAGAAAAATTTGTTCAGGATGGGTTTGGCTGTGAAGGATTGGAGAATGGTGGATGCTCTTTCTCCACACCATGCGTTTCTCGAGAACAAGATTATAGCTTTAGCATGGCACAATTAGAGAAATCAACCGATAGCGATTGTAAATCATCATTCTCGTCTTTCTTACCGGTGGATAACACACTGCCAAATTCCGGTTTTGGTGGGTTTTCTCTTGATGGGAAACAACCGGAATCAACCTCAACTGGCTTCACATCAACTGGAATTCCGTCCATGCCAAGCTTTACCTTTTTTAGCCCAGGCCCAGCGACGACTCAGAACAATAACGTCACTGAAACAGATGGAAAACTTCGAGGTACCTGTTTCACTCTTCCTTGCTTAGAATTTAGAATGTTTGGATTGATGATTGCTATGCATAGTCATTACTTTCTAAAAATGGCAAGGACATTAGCTTCAAATCCGCAAATCAAGATCTCAACTTTCTGTGTTTCCATACCAGAGCTTTTTTGCGAACTTCAAAACGTTTTCCAAGAACTAAACATTTGCAGAAACCGATATCGGAATCTGTTGATTTTTATTGAATCTGTTAATATCATCTTCTTTCTTGGTGTCTTTACCCGAAATCTAGTCTTCAAAATAGCTGATTAAAGAATCTGTGTCCCATTTTTACAGACTCAAGTCCAAAGAGGTCACTGCCTTCTCCAGATTTCTCATCACAACTTGAGAGGCGTGAGGAAGCAGGGGAAAATCAGACGGAAGCAGCAGGAAAGTCAGAGACAAGAAGGGAAAGAGGAAACTGGTCAAGAATGTCAGGACTGCACAGCAAAAGGAACCGGACCATAGGACTAGGAGAGCTAGATCAGTTGGTTGTAGATGTTGCAGTCACGGAGTCGATAATCAGATGGGCATCATGCACGCATATTCCCACGGCTCCATCCCTCAGATTGTCGCTCGTCTGCTAGAACAAGAAGAAGACAACTGTTATCAGTATAATTTGTATGTACACATCTGATTTTGTTCCTGCAATGTCTTTGTTTTGTAGTAAAACATTTCCATGGAAACTGACCGCAACTGTATAATACCAACCAGAAATAGATTTGTGATTTGATATGTCTTCAGTAACGTTATTGTTTGATTATGGACTATCCAAAAAGAAGGTAAAAAAAGTGCGTCTGCCGGGAGTCGAACCCGGGTCTATTGCTTGGAAGGCAATTATCCTAACCGTTGGACTACAGACGCTGAACGAGTGGTACATTGTTTCGTTAATACTTGTTGTTATAGACGACAATATGTTGAAGGAACAACCTTAGCTGACTGGAATAACATTGTTAGACAAGCATGTTCGAAGTTCCGAGTCAAACTCCAACGAGAGACATTGTCAACAACAATATAAAACCAAATAAAATTATAATGTAATGATAAACCCAAACGTTTTATTGACCAAGTTTCAAATTGAATTGCCGAATAATGTTTCAGTTTAAACTTTAAAGATTCTAAACTACAAAGTAATCAGACAAAATCTACCTTTTTATAACACAAACCACACTGAAGATAAAAATGTAAAACGAACTAAGAATTGAGTTTTAAATATGATATCTCGTTAGTTTATTAGACCAAAGGCCGACTCTCTTCATCGTCTTCCTTCTCAAACTTAGCCCGTTCCAACTTCCCCGGTGTCTGACCCGAACCCGAAGATTTTGGGGTTGGATTAGGATCCGGAACCATTTTGAGTATAATGCCCATAGAGATGAGTAACAATCCCGAGCCGTGCTGTTCTGTTAAAGGCTTTGTGAATATCAAGTAAGATAGTAACAACGTAACAGCTTTTCTCGCCGTCGTTATCTACAAAATTAAAATCAATAAAGTATAGTCCTAAATGTCATATGGGTTTATACACTATACTAAATTAAAACAGTTAAAAGTAGTTTTACCATAGCAGTCGTGGCAGCGCCGAAGAGTGCAATGAGGCATAGAACGGAGACTTGTCCGATAAATGTAGCCATGGCTTCGAACACCAACACTCCATACACATATGGATGCTACAAAATGTCAATTACAGAAAATACAAAGTAATTAATTACATAAGTCAATGATCATCATACAATATATAATGTTTCTTGTCATTTAAGTTAAGTGGCGAATAAGAAAGAAGAAAAAGTATGGAAAGTGGTATCTTATAATATATAAAGCTTACTTGAGCACATGAAGTCCAAGCTGTGAAGAGCTCTCCGGTAAGAATCATTGGTGCAAGTAAGAACGGCAAACCAACTACCGTCGAGCAGAACAACATCTCCATCTACCGTCGAATTAAGAAATCGTTATCTGAGAAAGATAGATATTATTCAATAGAGGAAAGTGTAAGAAAAATGAAATTACTTGTGTAGTCTCGGGATTCATCTTGAAGATAGCTTCTTGCAAGTTACCAAGAAAAGCGTCCATGATGAGAGCGCCCGAGATCATCATAACCCCAATAATGCTGAAGTTTGGGGAGGTATGGGCATCAGCTAATGTGAATAAGATGAGACCAATTACAAGTAGCATAGCCGATATGTACTCATGGATTGGGTATTTTCTTCTCAACCCGGGTATAAATGCTCCCATTACCATAACCGGCAAAACCTAGACAAAGAGGGAGAAATAAGATCACAAGGATCCACATTACAACAACATTTCTAACGACCGTAACCTGATAACAAGAAATTGATCCTAAAGAGTACTCAAAACTTTAGTCCCTAAGTTCAGCTATATACCACTACTTGGTAAAGTCAAGTCTTACTATAATATATATACCTTAGTGGATTTGAACATGATTTGAGCAGGGTAATTGAGATAAGCCAAGGAGCCTTTGGTAAGGCCATGCGATCCCATAAGAACACCAGATAGTTTCACATAAGTCTTCCATGGATTCACCATTTGCTTTGTCCGGAAGCCATGCATGTAAATCAGAGCAATGTACACCAGTCCTTGCGCAAACGTGAAATACCATCCATAACTGCAACGCGCACACACACATTATACTTATACTATTCGAATTTTATTTTTATATAAATTTTGACTTATAGAAAAAATAACATTGACATATAAAATTACCTGAACTTAAGCCGGTTGTACACATATTCCTGCAAATTTTGAGAATTAGCAAAAAAAGAAAAGATCCGAAATTTTAGTAGAATAAAAAATAAAAATAAAAAGATTAAGAAATTGGCAGGTAAATCATGATTAGCGCGCGTAGTAAAGTAACTGTATAGGGATTACGCAAATAGAGAATCTCAAGAGGAAAAACAAATAAAAAGTAGAATCTCGAGAAATTAAACTTACATATATGTTTGTATTAATTGTAAACATATCTTAAGATTTTAACAAAAGAAAAATATATGCATGCCTAATCTTCGGCTTTGTTTCCGGTAAAAGCCTCTGTTCTAGCGAAAATTATATTTAGAAGAAGAAGAAGACCGGATTCATCTCTAAACCTTTTGAATCTTCTCAATATCAGGCACAACAAACAACACACCGCATGCAAAACCGGAACTTAGCTTACCAGACAAAATCAAATCAATGAGCAACAAGAAAAAGCAAAATTCAAGAAACAATATTGAAAAAGTCTATGATCCTACTACTACTTATATGGTTTTATCAGAATTATATGTAAAAAAGAATAAAAATGAAAAGAAAAGAATCGAACCTCGCAGATGCCATTAACGAGGTAACCAAAGAAAAAACCAGAAGAACAAATGAGGAATTGTTGCCATCTCGGTTTATCAGAAAGAGGAATCCCAAACAGTGATATCATTTGCTCTTCGCTGTTGTTCTTCATGATGATCTCTCTAGAAACCAAACACACACACACATACACAAAAAAAAAAGAACAAACAAATTAAACCAAAGGATAGAGGAATGTTAGAAATAGAGAATTCGATTTGTCTTTTTCAAGGATTTGGGATTTTGTTAGAAAAAAAAAAAGGGGGAAGAAGAAGAGTAAGTGATATTGACAAGTAGATGAAGAAAGGTATAAAAATCAATTGAAGAAGAAAGAACCAAAGAATTCTCCTTTTGGATTTATATTTTTTTTTCCTTTCTCTCTTCTCTTTACTCTCTCTAACTTAACGCTCACGATCACTTTTTAACATATTAGAATTGTGTACTACGACGTATTAAAATATACGTATCACACTACTGAGAGAATAGAGATTAAGGGTCTAATTGTCTTTTATTTTTCTATCGCCTACGTTTTGTATTTATCTTATTATTTAGATAATTATTTTTACTTAGACCAGGAAAAAAAAAAGACCTATAACAAAATGGTTGATGATAAAAATAAAAACGTTGTAGATATTGATGAAATATCACAGAGAATATTTGGTTTTTGAGAGTTTTTGAAAGCTAATTTGGATTTTATAGTCGTAATTCGTAAATGATTATGATGAAGAAGATGAACACGCACTTACTGACAAACTTGCTCATAAAAAAACCTCGTATAATGAAAATTATAATAATGTAGGGACTTGTGATGAGTCTTCTTGAGTTAGAGCGAATGATGAGCTGGCAAAAGCACACAAATCAGTTTCAGACAGCCACGTGTTTCACGCTTCAGTTCCGCGCCGATACCTCACGCCACGTCAGACTGAGAGTTTTTGAGCATTCTACTTTTATTATAAAAAAATGTAAATATAAATAAATTCAAGACCTCTTTACCATAAATTCCGAGAAAAAGACTTACCATGAATTTCGTTTCAAGATATTAAATTTTTTAATAATTTGCAATCGTGACATGCAGAGTATATTGGGAACTCCGAACTGCGATTCCACCGGAGAAGCTTATTTTTGTATGATTTTATTCCTAAGTCGTCGAAAGCATAATTATAATATTCCTAAGTCGTCGAAAGCATAAATATAATATTCTTAAGTAGAAAAAAAACAGTATATTTCGATGGTTTCAATCTCTAGTAGTCACGAGATCTATGTGCTAGTTTAGTATCCAGCAAGATTTGATTAAATCTCCCTTAATTCTAATACAAGTAGAGAGAGATGATTACGCTTGAAATTTGCATATCTACTACAACCGTCACGTTAAATTACCATATGGGCTTTGGCTATATGTAAATTAGAGGTTCACAAAAAGCCCAATCAATTTATAAAGAAGAAAAGGATTCCAAGAATATTACAAAATTTATACCCGTCAAGGAACCTTCTAACTCCATCAGAGGATCTAAACGCCTCTCAGTAGTCTCAGCTAAAAATCTCACACAACTCTTTTTCACTTTTTACTTACACAACTCTTTTTAACTTTTAACAATGTTAAAACTTTCAAATATTTTTAGTAGTTGTAACTCCAGAGTGACATATCTTCATAACACGTCTCTTCTTCCATGTAAACATTAGGAGTCATGTCTTCCATATACGACCGCGGCGGCGACATTAACGGCTCCTCAGCTAGCCTCATCATCGTCGTCGACACTTCTTCGTAGTCCCCGTATCCATACGACGGAGAATACATCTCCTCCGAACCCGATCCCGATCCCGAACCAGAACCCATGTCTGCATCATCTCCAGAAAAGGGCAAAACGGTAATCCCACCGCCGAACTCCGCGGGCCTAAACATCTCGGCGGCTTCCGCGGCGACTCTTCTTATGACGTCCGGATCGTTGGACTCAGGTACGGGTAGGCGCCAAGCAGAGTCGGCGAAGTTCAAACAGGCGGATCTGCCGCGGAGGGACAAAACAGCGACGTCGTGAGCACGGGCAGCCATATCGGCGGTGGGATAAGTGCCGAGCCAAATGCGGCGTTGGTGAGTAGGCTCGCGGACTTCGCAGACCCATTTGTCGCCGTTCCTACGACGTATACCTCTGTAAACAGGGTGACGTGTCTCCTTGAACACTGTCCTCCCCGCTCGTTTCTTAGGCCTCATCTCCGCCAGATTAATCTCTTCGTTGTTATTCATTACTCACAATTTAGAAACAATAAAAAGAGATTTGTTCGAATAAAGGAAGAGTCTTTTTTGTGTGTGTGTGTTTGTTTGTGAGTTGAGAGCTCTGTTTTTGTTGCTGGGAGTTAAGGAAACAGAGGAATGAATGAATATTTATAGGCTACGAGTTTAGGATTTGATATGGGACCCACGCAAAGTATACGAAACGAACGCGCGTAAAACACACAATTTTCTTTTCTTTTTCTTTTTCTTTAAACCTTATCCACGTATATGAGCTGTTTAGCCGTTATTATACCTAAAAGGTTCTGTCTCCTATAGATATTATATTAATTCATTGTCTTGTATATGATGAGCTTGAACCCACTTTTACACACACACAACTCAATTAAAGAACAGAAAAGTGAAATCTTCTTTTATAAAACACATGAAGAGTTTGGAATTCGACACATTTTAATTAACTCTAGTATCCCATCACTGCTTACGACTTACATTCTCTTTATACAACAGTGTGGCTTCTAGTTTTTTTCTGGTTTCTTTACCATATTACGGGATCGGTCTCTAATTACAAGTCAGAGTAAACTCAAACTACTATCGAACAACTTTACCAGAAACTAGGAAACAAAACCAAAGTTAAATGATATATATTACACTGAGTAAGAAATATATCTTACAAAGACCTTTAAGATGAAATTGATTGAAAGTAAATATTATTAATCACCGACACTTAATTTTGTTCGTTTTTGTTTATTTTTATACCTTCGAATACACTATTATCCTCATGTTTATTTTTTTTTATGAGTGGTGATAAATTAATCTATTTAACTCAGCATAATTACCCAGTGTTAAACCACGGCTACCCTTCCTTTTTACTGTATTAAAAAAAACACTTTAAAATATCATTGGTGGGCTAAGCTTTTAGAAAAGAAAGAACATTCTTTGGGTCAAACATATCATATATATATTTTTTTAGTTGTGTTTGACTATACTCTATCTATAATTAATTTATTAAAAATTCGGATACAGTATAGTTGGGTCCAGCTGAGCTTTCTCGCCTTGCAGGACCAAATTATCCAATTTTTAAATTTTAGAATCTTTATTTCTATATTTGTTTTTTTTCTTCATTTCATTTGTGGAGGATATACAACACGTGACTCATTTCCATATTAAGGATATTATTAGCCGTTTCTTTACTAACACGTGGGATATCCGTGGGTACTTGTTCTATTTCTTTAGTACTATGTTTAATAACACATTTAATCCCTTTGGTTTTCTTTTTTATCAAACACTTTTAATTATACACGAATGGAATCAGCTTTTTAAACTGTAGTTTATACTTAATCATCTCACTATAATTAATTTTATCATCTTTCCTTTTTTTTTTTGGTATGAAAAAAGTAATTATCAAATTTAATAGTACATTAATTAAAAAATTGGTATGTAGAACATTTTTATGCAAATTAATGCTGACGATACGTAACGATGATGTTGATGAATGTGTGATAATGATATATAATACAGAAATAAATGTTGAGATAAAAAAGTGTGTGATAAGGAGTTAATAAGGAGACAAGGGTTGGCCACAAAAGATTTAATGCTTCATGCTGTCTCGTGAGTGTCACATGCGCGTCGTCGTCTCCTTCTTCTTTCATCTTTTGTTTCTCTCTCTCTTTCTTTCTTTCAAGTCTTATGAGTTGAGAACTTGTGAAAACTTTTATACGATTATAGGCAAATTATATAAAGTATATTCCGTGTATTACAATATTTGCCCTACTTACTAATTATACACGTTTTTCTTTTGTTGCTACGAACCAGAAAAAAATAAATCACTGATCAGTCTCTGACTATCGACTTCTGAAAGCTGCTTCGATGATGATGATGATACTAGCTTCGGGGCATTCTTCATTGATAGATATAAAACCTCTGAACTATTGTGGGACATCACCATCCTCTGTTTCTTGTATCAAACTTCATTGCCAGAATAAGGGAGCGGATAAGCTAATGGATTGTCCTTGTTTGGATCTGAAACATGTCTACGGAGAGGACAATTTCATTAAAAAACATGAATCAATTTCATTAGAAGAGAAACTAAATTGTTAGCTAATTACTCTTCTGTTCTGGGTTTAGAGGAAACAGATCCAACCATGACCTTTTCTTTGGCACTCAAGAAAGCATATCCAGAAAGCTTTTCTCCAATCTACCATCCGATAACATATCCATAACCATCTTTATAGTGGATGCATCAGCAGCGAACCCGCACCTCTTCATTTCTTCGATGAGTTGAGCTGAAGTCATTATGTCAATACCTCGGAGATGTGCCCGGATTAGGGTGTTGTATGTACGATCATTTGGTGTACAACCATCCTCTGCCATTTTCCTAAGCAACATATTCGCTTTATATAGTGAGCCGCTTCTACATAATCCAGAAATCATTATGTTGTATGCCATAACCTCAAGCTTCACTCCTTTGCCATGGAGGCTGTCGAATAAATCCCAAGCATCATCCACCTTATTATCCTTGCACATAGCGTGAATGATGATATTATAGATACAAATATTAAGCTCCATCTTACTCTTTTGCATTTTTTCAAATATTTCCAGTGCTTTTTCTAGCTCCCCATTGTCACACAACCCATTCAGCAAAAATTTGTAAGTCACAATATTAGGAAGAACACCACGAGAAACCATCTCCTGGAAGAGTTCTTTGGCAACCACAAGCTTTCCCGATTGACAAAACCCTCGGATAAGACTGTTATAAGAGACTGTATTGGCAACCACTCCGCTCAAACTCATTTTGCGGAAGAGTTCCAAACCATCGTCGACCCGCTTAGCCTTACAATATCCGTTTATGAGACTACCATAGGTCACGATATTAGGATCACACCCTTGGCTAACCATCAGACCCAACATCTGGTTTGCTTCCTCAAGGCGGTTCTCCTTGGAAAACCCATCTATTAAAATATTGTATGTAACAGTATTAGGAGCTATACCTCTTGTGATCATCTCCTTGTGCAGTTCTTCTGCCTCTAGAAGTTTTCCCTCTTTCACAAAACCATTTATCAATGCATTGAATGTGATGACGTCGGGGGAGATTCTCCTAGTGATCATATCCCTCAGTAACTGAGCACCATCATCCCATCTACCAGCATTACAAAAGCCTCTAACGAGAGTGTTGTATGTAGTAATATTTGATTTGATCCCTTTCATTTCCATTTCATTGAAAAGGTTGAATGCATCGTCGAGGCTCCCCTCTTTGCAAAGAGCACCAATGAGGATATTGTATTTGACTGCATCGAGCTTGACATTACTTTCTTCCATCTTTCTGAGCAACTCAATGGCCAAGGCAGTTTTACCGGACTTGCACATTACATTTAAAACTGGCCCATAGGTAACTTCACTGGGTTGACAGCCATATTCCACCATTCGATCAATTAAAGCAACAGCTTCAAACACTTTACCTTTGAGACAGAGTCCATTGACCACAGTGTTAATCGTTATGAGATCGGGTGTGTGTCCCATTTCTACCATTCGATCAACTAATCCCACCGTTTCAGAAACTCGGCCCTCGAGACATAATCCGTTAATCAAAGTTGAAAATGTGATAATGTTAGGCTCATACCCAAGTTTTAAGATCTTTCCCAAAACAGAAAAAGCAAAACCGAGTTCTCGGCGTCTGCAGAAACAATTGATGACAATACTCAAACTATACAAGTCATTTGCAATCCCATTCAACTCCATTTGCTTGGAGAGAGCTAACACGAGATCATACTGCTTAGTTCTGGCAACACCACTAAACAATTTATTGAAATCAACGACTGTGGGAAGAGGACGAGACCTAAGCATGGATTGGAAGAGATCAACAGCATCCTCCTCCTTAATATTAGCAATCCCATTTCTCAATCTCTCTCTATAAGAGACATTCCCATCACTGACACTAGAAAAGACTCGTAAGAAACAAGAGAAGAAAAAAGGAGTTCTTGGAGTACCTGTCTCCAGAAGAAGACGTGTCTGAACCAATCGAAGCATCACTCAGTTTAAGATTTTGAAAGCTCTTGATATCAAAAATAACTAGAGTCGCGCCTTCGATTTTGCGCTTAATTGCTTGTTCGGCTCTCACAGGCGCCAATTTCACACACAAACAGCAAAAAGGTTCAACGATGCTTAGTTTACCTTCGACACTTGTTCTCTCTGCAATAGAAGTGAAAACTAGAAATCTTCTAAATCGCACTAAAGCTTAAGCAGCAGAAAATGAAATCCAAAAACATTCGAAGAAGAAGGAAGCAATGGAAACCC